CTGATTCTACCATGCTCATCCCCATTCTCAGCTCATCGCTCCCTTGCTCACCTTTGGTTCTGCAAGGGAAAAACAGATGAAAAGCTTCCTAGTCCAGAAAAGGAAGGCAGTGCAAAAAAGTACCAAGACATCAGGTTTTTCTACTCCGCCTTTCTCTTCTTTTTCCTCCAGCCACCTAGAGAGAAGCCTCCATCTTAGAGGAGGTAGTAAGCCCATGGATGCTCCCAGCTTTCCCTGCCACTTCTCTCAGGGCAGGACCAAAATTTTGTACAAAACAGCAACCCCTCTGTGTTTTTCCTCTGAAACCATCTGGACAGAGGCTGACAACTGTGAAATAGAGTGGATGCAAGTTCATACGCATCTGTCAGTTCAACTGCTTTCACCATAAACCAGTGCTTTTTCAGTACTTTGAACAGAGTCAGCAAGGACCACAGGAGCCGCTCACTAAGCCACAGACCTAATATTGTGGTTCCACTTGCCTACACATTTCCTGCTCAAATGAAAGGCATTATCATCTTGTTGTCTGGCATTCACTGCAATGCTTTAGGGCTCTAGCCCTTGGCTCTGTGAAATCACTATGCTAAAATCACCCAGGTCCAATTGTTTTGGCATACAGAACAGCACTCTAGTCTGTGATCATCACAGTATCGATGTTGCATGGATATCCATGTGGCTCTGTTGCAGCTTGGCCCTAGACTTGAATTCCTACAATACTCCCAAAATTTAAGTGTGCACTGGTATTATATTTCACCTGCCCAGCCACAGGTCCCTGCCTGCCTGATAGGCCCTCATGCAGCAATGTCAGCTGCACAGAGCGGGCTCATCTCTACTGACAGACAGACCACTTTTCAACTGTTGGTAATTACACAGGGGTGACAAGCAGCTTTCTGCCTAACCCGTCACTTGCAGAATTCATAGCTCTCTATTTACTCCATAGGAAAGTCAGACCCACGAAAACAAGCTTCACACAGACAGATTGGGTGACATCAGCACTCTCCAGGGCTCCCCAGTATCAGACAGCTTCTATCTCGGTTGGTTTACACTCTCATTTCAAATGCAGGTGTTTTGCGATTGCAGAAGAACCTGAACATTGGAGTGGGAGAAATTCCGTGATCTAGGGTAAACCTAAGAAAAGCAAAAATAAAATCTATCTGCATGCCATTACTTATGGTAGGCCTGAGGTAAAGGTTAGCAACTGTTTGTGGAAGAAGGAACAAAACCAACAAACAGGATAGAAGAATCCACTGTAGTCTCTGGGGCCATAAAGCAGAAGCTCCAGAAATTCCACTAAACTCAGCTGGAGGGAAAGAGAAATCTGTCAGAGAAAGAGAGCTCTTCTCTCCCCCTGACTAAAAGGAGAGTGGTAGCACAAGAGCACCTTGATAATCTCAAAAGCCACTAAATTACATGGAAAGCAGGGACATACACACACACACACACATTTAAACAGCATCTTGTCATCAGTGCTCCTAGGAAATCCACCGATTATCACAGCAAAGGATTAAAACATGATTTAAAAGTAACAGCAAAATGAATAAAACAAGCGTCAGAGAAAATTTAAGCCTTATTCTTGACTCAATGTAACTCAGAGACTGACAACAGGACCTGTGGCCATATCCCCAAACTGACCATATATTGAGCACTATGGCTGTTGGTAGCTTTCTAGAGAAAGCCTGGCAGAACTCCCTGAAGAGCACTATCAAGTCCTCTCAGGTGAACAAAAGTCACTACTGGGGAACCTTTAAGGAAGCAGTTTGCAGGTGAGCATTATCTATGTGGACTCCAGACAGAGCTTCCATGTTGTTATGCAGATACATAAAATAATTTCACACACAGAGCTATGAGAGAGCATCCACTGATTTTATGAAGCAAGCTATAAAGTCAAGCAACAGCTTCAGCGTGCTCCTCAATTAACAAACTGTTACTAGTTAAAAAAATGACCCAAACGAGGCCATTGAGAAGCCCTGTCACTGCATAACGGCACTATGCAACTCTCCCCTTGATTATAAGCAGAAATACAGAACGGGTAGCTTCTCTCATGTCTGTCTGCAACTAATGTTCAACAGTAGAGAGAATTTTAAAAATTTTTTCTTCTTCCACAATCATAGTAAAACTATTCAAGCTTAACCAGAGTTAAGATGTGATTTTTTTCTATTCCCACTACAGGAAATTAGTGATACATAATTAACCCTAACATAAATATCTTTGCCTGGGCTCCGTTAAGTACATTTAATAGTAAGTATAGTTATTACTAAATCTCAGTCCTGAAGCTCTCATTCTGCTCCTTGGAAAAAAACGAAAGTCTACCCTAGTCTGATTTAAAGTTTTTGATAACCCATCTCCAAGAACCCAGATTCAAATTTTGGCTTGGATCCCAGTCACTTGAGAGTGAGGTGACCTCTTTCTAGTCCTTTTTTTGTAATACAAAAGTAGGAAATTATCACTCAACCGTGAACTCAGGAAAGAATTTGAACAAAACAGCACGTGTCTGCTGGCCAAGCTCAAGATGCACTGGGACAGCAGATCCAGACAGAAAGCTCACACCGCACCTGTCTACACCACATTCCACATTATTATGGCCAGAGTCATGAAAAGCAAAGCCAGCAAGCATACAAAAATCTGAATGCACAAAGCCGCCAAATACTATTGAACAAACCCCACTTGATGCTAATTAACATTAAGGCTGGCCAGAACCTGCTGTGATTCAAACTTGCACTCTGTTCAAGCAAAACTTCAGGGAAGCCTGGCAGAACCAGTGACTGAACCACAGGTGCAGGAAAAGCTGTCTGGATCTGTGAACTGCTTTCGTATCACGTGGTGATGGAGAACAGTCCACACCAGAGCATGATAGCTGGGAATGGTAACCAGCCAGCTAATCACACAGTGATCTCTCATGCTTTTTGTTTGTTTTATGAAAAAGAGGTTCTGACAATTGGTTTCAGATCAAAATTCTTTCTAATTCAGAAAGGAAAAAAAAAATCATATAAAGTGATGCTCAGTAGGAATTAATCAGAAACACAGCCCTCTTGAAGGCATAAGCCTTTCTGGTTAAGTAAAAACTTGCCACCAGCTAATGTGCAAGACAGTAACGATTAGCCATCTGGTAAAGGTTCCTGCTAAGCTTGCCATGTTACCCCCTATGCTGAGGAAAGCAGAAGGTGGATCAGTTACATTCTGTCCTTGCCTGCACTTGCGTGGTCAACCTTAGGAACAAGACACAAAGCTTTCCAGCACAACCAGGAATTGTAACTGTTCCGACTTTACAGCAGCCTTTTTTTTTTTTTATCATTGCATACCAGCTAAATTATTTAAAATAAAAATTTTCTATTGCCTTTCTGAAAATTGAATTTATCCTCAAACTTTATTGACCTTTGTTATTTTTGCCCCTTTGTTTCCTTCCACAAAAATTGCAACTGCCAGGAGGCTTCCCAGTCATCTAAAGAGCATCAGTAAACAAGAGCAGAGACAGATGGCTGCAGCTCAGTTTAAACCAGCACAAGATTCAGCCTCTCTCCTGCATTGCAAGTACTACCTATAAGATACAAACCTATGCATAAAATTGTACAAGAATGCAGTAGTCCCAAATATAAAAGAAGTATGTATATATAATCTGATAAAGAAGAAGTCACTGTGAGGACAGGGTGCTGAGGTTTCATCTACAGTGAATATCCACTATACATTTACAGCCTTCCAATAATACAATGGGCTGAAAGGGGGGGGGGGGGCGGGGGAGGAAAGAGACACAGATGACACAGACGAGTTCTCCCTCCATTCCCTCTATTGCTGGCAAAAAAACAATCAGCAGGGAAAGTAAAACCAGGTATCCCCTTCCAGCAAAGTTACTCTTCTGAGAGCTAAAACACCAAACTCACACTCCCAGAGGAAGTGACATCTCCGACAGGCCTCTCAATTCACTTACTACTTCAGGAATTCAGTCACATTGACAAATAACACGTTAACCCCTTATTAAAATGACAGATTCAAAGAGACAAAGAAAATCCAAAAGATTTAGAATGACAGGAGTCTATAAAAAAAAAAAAAAAATCATACTGCTTTTTTTTTTTTTCATTTCTGGATTTGGCTGTTTTTTATTTACTGCATAGGAGACTACTGTTGTTAGCACAAGATACTATTTACTTTATGTGTCTGGCCTTGCTAAATAGATTCAAATGTCCACATACATTCAATAAATCTATCTGAATCAACATACTTCACTGTTTGCCTCTTCCGCCAACTATAAATTCACAGCGATTCCACAGACACACCTGCATGCTTAAATGGCTTACATAAGAACAGGTCCAAACATTGCCCATTCTTTCCCAAACAAAAATTGTGATTCTGTTGAAGTTAAATTAACAGCTCTCCCTCAGGGCTTCCTGATATTCCAAGTTCCTCCTTCCCTTAGTGATAGCAGAAAGCTTCAAGAACAGGGTTGAACCGTCTTCACCTCCAATCAGCTCTAATTGAAGGATGACACGAGACAGAACAAGAAACTAGCACTCCAATTAATACAGACAGGAAAAAACAAGACTGTGAGAGCAGCATCATTGTTGGTAAAGCTCCAGCAAAACCCTCAGGTTGTATCATGTTGGCACGTTACCACCTCTGAGGTAGAGTTTAACTACTTCTCAGTGCAAGAATACAAGGGAGGGAGCGATCTGGTGGTGAATACTAAACAGTTCTGGTCCCTTTTTACCTCAGCATTCACACTGAAACTTTAAGAGCTGATTAATATGGGACTCCACTAATCCTCTCAAGAGAGGCCTGAATTAGCCCTTCTGGGAACCCAATCTATACTCCTAAAATGCAGTCGACATAGATTCCCACAGGACCTTCCTTAAACAGGACAACTACAAAATAAACACAGACTTCTCACATTAAACAGTTGCCCCCTTAGAGCAATTCACCAAGGGTCAACTAGAAAACCTCTCCTATTCATTTCCACAATGTTATTTCCTGCTCCGTACATTTAAACGACTAAACAAAAAGCTGGTACACACCTGTATCCCCATGGAAGCAGCTGTCCTGGTGACATCTCCCAGAAGGCAAATCACTATCACTTGGCCAGATCTGTCCTGTTTTTCGTACACCCACAATAGTAGCCTCCGACACAATGACTTGCTGCTGCCTGTGCCGTTTTTGAGACTGGGGGGTCGGTGGACTGCTACTGTCAAAGGACTGCTGCGAGTTCTGGGAAGGAGAACGGCTTTTATCCCGATACATGCGGTAAGTGGTGGGGCTGGGGGAGACATGGCTGGACTGCCCTGAGGAGAAGTCTTCCTCACTGGAGGTAAGGTTCTCATTAGAGCTACAATCAGGAGTATATCCTCCTCCAATATCTTCAAAACTCCTGGGGGAATAAGATCTCCTGGGCCACGTGAGATGTTTTTCCTGGTCAGTTGTGCCCTGATTTCGCAAAATAGGTCCTTTCCCTTCTCCTTCCCCCATCATTCCACCAACATAAATACTCTGATATGGTTGAAAGTCCATGGGCTGCCAAGGTGAGCGGCTGCTGCCATTAGCATTAATCAGGTTATCTTTGAGAAACCTGGGGTTCAGTTCAGCATCCTCATATTCTCCATCATAGCCAAAACTGCTCTCCGAGGACCTTCCCCTGTAAGCAGGCCTCTGGAACTCACTGAAGCTGGGTACCATGTTAGAAGGGAGGGAGTGCAAAGACTTTTTCCGTTCCATTTGCATGGCTTGGCTACCAAGGGAGCTTATTTTATCTGAAACATCTTTATCGTTGACCTTCACTAAACCCTTCTCATGATGATACTCCATGTTCACATAGAAGGGCTTTTCAACAATATCCTTGTTATCTCCAGAAGAATGTGAATTAACCTTTTTAATCCTCTCAAAATTGGACCTTAGGGCTGCCACACTGGTGCTGTTCCCTCTCTCCTTGGAAATAGGTTCAAATGATCCCTCCTTTTCAGCAGATCCCACGAGCCTGCGAGTGGAAGCCGATCTGTGTTTTGAAGGAGAGCCATCTGTATCACAGCGATTCTCCACATCTTCTACAACTCTCTTCAGTTTCTCTTCACCATAGTACTTACACCTGTCCTGCTCTCCCTCTCCATGATGGGGACTGTCCAAAGGCGACAGGTCTGACCCATCACTCTGGGTAGACAGCTTCCGCAGGGAGGGTATCCTGGGTTTGAACTTTTCTTCCCCGTGGTGTGACTTGCTTTTTTCATATTCATCTTGGTCAGCAGACTGGTGATGATGCAGGTCTTGGATCTGCTGCTCTGCACCCCCTTCAGGCAACTGAGAAACACGTTTAAAACCCCATCTCTGTCTATCATAGCTTTTTTTCTCCTTTGCCAGAAGAGTCTGCAGGTAAATCATGCGGAACCTCTCCTTGTTGACCTCCATCTCCAGTCTCCGGATAGACGCTTTGCACATCTCCAGCTCCTGTTCAATGTCTCCCACAGATTTCAGCTCCATTTTAGGAGGCTCAGAGTCTGAAAACTGTGCTTTCCAAGCCTCCACAAACCCCACAGGGTCCACCATTTTGCATACAGGAGTAAGTGGAGAACACGGGAAGGAGGCTGGGGAGAGAGAGGTGGAGAATAAACCAACCGGATCTCACATGTAGAAGCAGAAACAGCTCCGGCAGGGTCAACTCAATGCGTCTCTTTCACGGTCCGTGCAGGGAAACTGGGAGGCAAACGGCAATCCCCGGAGCAGTCTCTCCTCCCCGTCTCGTTCAGCTTTTGCCGGCCCCAGCCCCTGTACACTCGCTACTCTCTCCCCAGCATGACTGCTCTTCTGCTAGCGAACAACAATGCTCCCACCCCAGCGATCCCAGAGCACTTCAAAGTGGGTGGACAAAGGAGCAGGCTCGGGGCGGGAGAGGGAAGGCAAATATCGCGCCCTCACCCACCCACCCACCCACCCACCTCCTGCCGCTGCCGTCCTGGGCACGGTCCTCAGTGCAGCTACGCTGAGGAGTCCTCCGCTCCGTCCTCCCCTCGCCAGCCCCCGTGTTGTGCTTTCTCTTTCTCTCTCCTCCTTTCCCCCTGCCCCTTTCCCTGTCTCCTCCTCCCGGCTATTGTGCTGTCCTCCGGCTCAACACGCTCCCCGGAGCCTCTGCGCAGCGCGGCGAGGCGGGGGCGCGTCCCGCTCCGCCGCTACCCCCGGGTGGCCGAGCGCCCCGCGGCCCCGCGGGAGCCCCCTCGGCGCGGCGGCAGCGGCTGCCCGCGCCTGGCCGTGGCGCGGCCCGGCGGCGGCCCGGATCGCGGCGCTGCGGAAGGGGAGGAGAGGGAAGGAGCCGGGCGCGGCGATTGACACGGCGCTGGGGCCTCTTAAAGGGGCAGCCCGGGCCGGCTGCGGGGGGCCGTGCCCGTGGGACCCCGCGGCGGGGGGGGGGCGCGTCCTGCCCCACGGCGCGCGCAGAGGCGGCTGCCGGTGAGACAAAGGCAGAGATTTGCAAACGCGTGTACATTCGCGTCTGCTCACGCCTGCAGCCGCGGGCCTGGACGTCAGCATAGATAGACATGACTGTACCTAAGCCTGGGCAAGAACCTATCACACACCCACCCCTGTGCGCAGGGGGAGGTATCCATGCTTGTCTATACATCCGCGCCCTCATATATTATGTATAAACAGCAGCATGTCCCTGTACTGATGCAGCTCACCTTCAAAGGTCATGTTTCCCCCCACTAAGGTTGGTTCTGTAAAGCAGTAAGCTTGTCATTCACTCCATCCTTCCTTCCTTGACAATAAATGGCAAGCTGGATTTCTGAGATGGGCAACTGCTACTCCAGAATCACACTGATACCGACAATAAAGGCTGCTTTGTTCAGGCATTAGTCTCACTTTTGTCCTGTACATTATCCTAGCCCCCATAACTCAGAGTCCCACGTCACAGCTCTGGTGAAGAGTGGCAAATGATTTAAACAAAAGGCAGGCTGCTGAGTATTACTCCTTCCAAAATCACAGTACCTAATCTTGCTTAAACCCTGTATCATTTCCAGGTACTAATCCAGCCTCTGGAAGAGTGGTAACAAATACACCTGGAGTTCCACCATGCCTGTTTGGAGGCTAGGAAAAAGTGAGATATATATGCCTCATATCCCCCTAAACCTGCTTCTTTCACATCTGTGGTGAGATATATTTTCTGGTACATGTTACTAGAAAAGAGGGTAGGATATAGCCCCAACAAGAACTAATGAAATCCCATAGGAATGAAAAGCACAAGTCCACAGGAGTAGCTCTCTTACCTTTGAGATACATAATGTTTCATAATCCATTAAATAGCTTTTCTCTTCATGCTTTTTTAATGTGCCAAACAAAATGGTTTGGGGTATTTTCAGACATATTGCACACGGCTAATCATGTATTCAGTTAGCATAGTTCATCCCTCTTGGTTTTTGTTTCCTGGCTTTAACCTCTTTTCCTGCACTTGTTTCCTCAGCTTTTAACACATAACATGCATTGGCTGACCTACATAGAAAACAGGGTATAATCTAAATCATAATAAAATCTATGTGTTTAGTAATTACCTCTATAAACCTTTATAGAAATCTCAATCTTTCATAGAAATAAAATAAATTGACTTTTCACCATTGATACTATTTTTTGTTTGTTTGCCTTAGTGCCAGTTTGAACAACAAAATTCTGACATACAGCATAGTTCTAGTAATATGAAGTTTAAGACTGTACTGGCATGGTTATATAATGATAAGTCTATTACATCATAGGGATATGTTCTGAATTCATACATTACTTTCACTCAAGTCTCACAGTTTTTTTTTTTTTTTATATCTAGAGCTTTTTCTATTTGGGTTCACTTTGCTCACCTTTGTGCCATTTTTGGAAGGAGTAAGAATTCTTACGAGTCAGAGGAGGGATTTCTGTATGCACACTTAAATTTTAGAGAACAATACTATTAAACAACTGCATCCTCTTTTCTATTGAGGTACCATATCATCAGAAATTTCAGTGGGTATTGATGGGATCTCTGAATTTTTGCTGATACTTTATGTGTTCAACAGAGTATTATTTTAATTGGATACAAAATTTAGTTGAGGCTATGGTAGCAGACACATATCCGTGATGCGAGACTGAGAATCCTGTGGTGAGGGGGGCTGAACTACAGACAGACCTCCCAGCACTTACCTCTGCTGGCCTGCACGAGATTGCAAAGCCCTCCTCAGCCGGAACGGAACTAGCACTACGGTGACCAGCGAGCTCCCTCTCGTGGGAAAGAGGAGCCAGCCAACTTGGCCTGACAAGCTCTTGAGCTGTCACTTCTGACCTGTTTCTTCAGCACGATCCCACACGAGAGAATCGGTTTTAGTAAGAAGAAAAAACAAAACAAAACAAAACAAACCCTGTAGCACATCAGCAGAGTCTGTTTAAAGAGAAATAAAACACTGATTAATCTGTGGCTGAAACTAAGAAACCTTGTTTTTGTAGCACAAAGCAGCACTCTGGTAGAGTTTGGCAAGGCTGGTAAATATCAGTAAGTCACATGCAGTCTAAATCATTCTGTGAACGCAGAATGGAAACTCTCCTTAGAATTCAGAGAACAGAAATTTCTCACTGTGAGAATAACCTTCTGGCCAAAAATACAAGAAACTGATCAACCATCTCCTTACCAAATGCAGATTCTGCCTCAACTTCAACTTGCCAAACATTTCATTTTAACTAGTATGCTCAGAAGATGCTACACAGAGAGCAGTTTATAGCATTCATGCACCAGTGCGTTATATTGTACTCCCTAGAATGACCTCTAACTATTGATGAACACCTGAAAAGACACAGAGGGGGTCAGATTTATTCATGAAGAATGGACTGCAGTTGTACCACAACAAGATGAGACTGAGCTGGGAACCAGCAGGATTTAGAAAGATCTGAATCACATGACCTATAAGAAAATTAATAATAATATCCAAAGTGTCAAATAATCACTCAAAAGGCAGAAACATCATCATTAAAAGGAAAGGCTTTTATAGTAAGAAATTAACTTTGCCTGTCAGGTGACTGTTTCTTAAATGGCTTTTGATCCATTACCAATTGTTTTGCTCAAGGAGATATGCATGCTTATTTAAACAGGAACTCATTAACATATTAGCTTCTGCTTATTAAGACAAGAAACAGCATAACATTAGTACTTCCTCTGGGAAACTGATTATTACAATTGCTCTTTATCTTTGCTTCAGAGTGCCTCCGAACTTCACTTCTCCAATTTCTCAGCTTTAAATTCCACAAGGAAGCTCGCACTGCAACTGTTGCCATGACCACTGTGAGGACTGGTGTAAAAATTGTGGTTTAGCCTACCTATGTTTAGAGTTAACTTTAGAGAAACAGTTGTTTCAACACTGTTTTTCACAATATTAAAGCTTCTTCAAAGCCAATTAAGCTGCTGATAGAATGGATTAACATGCATAGATAAAACATAGACCAGATAGAAACATTTGAGAGCTTGCAAATTGACATTTTTCTACCAAAGTTAGTTTCCTTTGTGATTTTCTAAGCAATTCATCATTTGCAATATGATCCAAGATTTATTTCAGGTGATCAATTACTGAGTTCTTTGCAGGGGAAGTCTCAGTGGGGCTAAAAAAAAAAACATACCTCAAAACCACCAACCGACCAACCAAAAAAAAAAAAAACAAAGAAAAACAAAACCAAAAAACACCAACCAAAAAAAATCCAGTCTCAAAGCATCTATCATAGAATACCACTGTCTAGTGATAGTTAATGACTGACAGAGTATTGCCTTTGCACATTAAGTTTTTGGAGCTCCAGAAGATACAGACCAGTAATGACATCAAGCAATGTGCTGAATCACTAGAAAAAACTGTCCCAGTTGATTTTCCAAGCAACATGATTGCGTTGTTGAAGAGATTGCATCTCCGATTTTGTACAGTAATTGAGCTCAGCAATGAAAGAAACATTTAGGAGATATATTCTTTTGGAAAAAGAAAAAAAAATGGAATCCTAATCTTTTCTTAGATTTGTTACTGAGTCATTTTGCAGCTGTTAACACTAGCATGTATGCACTGAAACCTAGCACCTAGCCTAGACAACATGATTTGCTGCAGTAGAGTGAACCATCTTTTCTGTTCTCATTCAAACTCAGTAAACATGAAGACCATGACTATGCTGCCCACTCAGTGCGGCACATGGTACAAGTGGAGTGTATATTCATCATCCTTGTGAAACAGATTTGGGAGATGAACAAATACATAGAACATTATAAGGTCAAAATATTACACATTTGGATAAATAACTCCTTACATACCCACACATACTCATTTTCTCCACCAAATGCTACATCTGTGTCTTTGCCAACAGAATCAACACAATTGCCAAAGTCAAGATTGTCCAATAAAAAAAGACAGAGTTCCTAGATCTCTATTCATCATACTCTATGAAGCTACTCTAACTTATGTCAGAAGAAAATAATAGTGATAAAAAGGTTGTTTAAGTCATATTTTCTCCACTTTTTCCTATATGTTATTGAACAATCTTGGGGAAAAATGGCAGAGAATCTAGAGTATTTTCAGTTTGAGGCATAGATTTATTAACAAATGTCTATTTTCTCAGCAGCTCACACCAGAAAGGTCCTGTTATAATCAGTTTTCCAGATACTGTTGTTTCTGCAATGATTGAATGAATATCTTAAGAAACTGTAACTTGTAACTTTCCATAGGTTTTCTTCTTTCTCTCCATTAAAAATAGCTGCAGTATGAAAATTTAGAGCATTATAGAAGATGTTCCACTTTTTTTTTTTTTAATTTATTTTATGCCAGCACAGCATGTAATGCTAGATTTGAATCTTAGAAGTACGGAGTTATAGGATGCTGAAACATTTCTAGAGAAGCGGTTTTTTCCATTGTCCTACTCTGATGTCTTTGTTAATTCTTTCATTTCAGTGCTTATAGTAATTTTGAAGGACCATAAATTCATCGGGTTTAGTGCAAGCAAAAGATTTACAGCACCCCATTTCTCCTTAGAGGAATATCATCAACTAGATACTCCGAACTGAATATTAAAATTCAGTGAGATATTGGAAAAAATAGAGGGAAATAAAATAAGTGTATTTCTTTTTCCCCTTCTTTTGTACTTTTTCAGTTTAAGCCTAATTATCATATTTATTCATATAATTTCACAAATACTGACCAAATATTTGTTATAGTAATTTCTGGCAACGTTATTTGTCATTCAAATATCTGGCAATGTAATTTGTCAGTAGTAATGACTTTTAAAACAGGAATATCTTTTGACATTGGTCATTGTTGCCCAGAGACCAGAAGAGCATTGTAAAACTGCTTTACTTCGATGAAACTCAGTGGTACCCAGAGCTAATCTCTCCTCATTAAACAATGATTGTAATTTCTAAAAAAACTAATTGCACGAGGTTATATCAAAGGGTATTTGAAAAGGCAAAACAGGGGCAATATGTTTTTCATCTAGCCAGCACACCAAGACACAGCAGCATGTCCAGAGACCAGGTTCTACCTCAAGCATTCAGTAATGACATCTTCATAAGGCAAGTACCTTGGAGCTTAATAAGCAAGTGTCTGCTTTGGGGAACTCCATCTTTTCTTTTCCCATCCCTCTAAACCCACACGCACTTGTATGTCTTTCCACAAAATGGCGAAACTATTTCTCTAGCATTATTGCCTTTATTAAGCAGTGGAGCAAATCACTCTCAGTATCTAGTGATCAAACTATCTTGGCCAGTAAAAGCAGATAGAGTGAGTAAAAGTTAGCAGCAGTATTGAATCTAACCTTACCAGCTCAGAGTTTCTACCACAGATAGGGATGAACAAGTTCATGATTGAGACTGCATATGGTTCCAGAATCATGTTACATTACTACAAACAAAAAAGCCCAGTTAGAACAAAATGAAAAAGTCATTACTCTTAGCAACAAAGTAGAACTGCAATGTAGACAATATTAATGAAAATCAATCCAGAGGAGGATTCTGCATCCTCTCTGGAAAATGAGAAATTAGATTTCATGTATTCCATACCATGCACCTATGTGACCGTTTTTTCTTATTCAAGAACGTGGAAAAGAGTAACATTCTTATGTGGTAACATTTTCAAATTATTAGACACCCGGGATAAACCAACAAAGTTCCTACCTGGAGTTCTCCTAGGCTTGGAAATGTTAAAATACTGGGCTCTGGTTCTCAAGTGAAAAACAAAATATACCGATTTTTTCATGGATGGAGAAACCACAGTGGAAACTATGCAGTCTGCATTTGTGTACTTCCATACCTGCTATTTAAAAAGATTTATTTTGGAACAATTTTTAAATGTTTGCAATGCATAAAAGCAAGTCAGAGTTATGTTATACTATGATCTCAAAAGGCAAAAACATATGGATAGCACCCTTTATTCTGAACTGCCATTTGTTTTCTGCTCCCACAAGAATGCAACTCACTATCGAAGACTTCTAGAGAATTATCAGAGAATACCACACTAAAATTACATAACTTTTGACTACAAGTGTTTCTGGTGGACAGGTGAGCATGTGGCACTGGCAATGTCTTCTTGCATTAAGACAAGAATGTTATGTTTCCATTACACAGTGAAAGGTTTATGTAACAATTGTACCATTCTGCACAAGTGAGCCTGCAGCAGCAAAGAAACTCTCATAAAGAAAGTTTGGATATAAGCTTTTCCTCCCTCATTTCCAAAAATAAAACCTTCTATTTCTGGTTTGAGAGCTTTCACTGTTACAGGTGCTCTGTGCCGGACTACAGAGAAGTATGGCACTTGCAGAAAGAGTTGACAGTTAGCAGCAACTCAGGCTGACTTGAGTGCTGCCTTCTGGGATTTCCATCATGTTCTCTTCCAGTTCTGTAGAAACAAAAAGTTATAAAATCAGTTCAGAAGAAATTATACCATCCAATACTAAGGGTAACAAAAGCTGAATGCAGCCCCAGCCCCTCCTGTATGCTAGAACTCAGGTAGACAATGACATAAATATCCTTGCAGATGTTCGAAACAGGTTTTAATGCTTGAAAATCCTCCCCAATCCTTCAGTCTGTAAATAAGGAAAATACACACAAAAAGCAAAACTTAACATACTGATGAGGTTTCCTGAACCAAGTTGGGCCATGTGCCCGGAAGTTTTCTCCAGCTCCTTTATCATAGACTGTTCAAAGGCCAAGGCAGCAACTCGAGAAAAGAACTCTTTGACATTTTCCCCTAAGAAAGAGGACAGAAACTGTGTGTTTTTATAACTGCACATAAAAACCTGAACAAGTATAACAAGCACATCTATCAACACTGCTCAATACTGGGACAGAACAGGCCTCTCCAACAGTCTGCCCTCCATTCTGACCACTGCAGAAGGAACTTCTCATTTTCATACTCTGGAATACTATAACCTGCACTGTACCTTTATTTTTAGTCAGCAACAGAGAGAATTCAGTTTGTGGTATAATCTTTTTTCATTGCTAATGCTGAGTAGCCATGCACATGTGTGTTTATGTAACTACCTATGAATTAAACATGCTTAGACATTGCACAGCAGCTCAAGTACTCCTTTCTATAAATATGACATCGCAGGCACGTACACAAATGCTCAACTAAAATCAACCATTAATAAACCTGAAGTTGCCAATAGCAACAAAATGCAAGAACAAAAAAAAACCTGCATGGGGATGGGGGGATAAGGAACTTTAACTTACTCCCACCTTAACATAAGCCTTTGTGGTTACACTATTTTTACCTCTGCAGTTACTTACCTGTTTTGGCTGAAACCGACCAGTATTCTGCCTGCATCTCATTGGCAAAGCGGATGGCATCTAGCTCTGTCCTTTCACACACTGCATCTGACTGAGTCAATAACATGCAATAACTTTAACACAAGAAGAGTATCTGGGCTAGTAATAACACAGAGGTACTGCTAGTACCTATACTGTGATGCTTCCAGTTTTCACAGGGGCCACTCTGGCCTTTCCATAGAACTTGTGCAATCAGACATGATTGAAAAAAGTACTGCTTTGAAAATGCAAGTCTCCATTCACCTCCCACAGCATCGAAACAAAACAAGTTAGTAAGTGTGACCATTGTATCTAACTATACAGTGTGGTAGGGAGCTATAAAGACAACAACTCAGCCATTGGTCTTTAAATTCTTGTTGCCCCATCATTCTCAGCAGAAGAGTTGCAGGACCAACTAATCACAAGAGTTCTTTGTGTTTAATCTTTCTTGTCTCTGTCCCAGAGCCTTTTCTCTACTCCATCTATTTTTGCTACACTGTAAGACAATGGCCTTCCCCCTTTTTTATTTTTGCTCCTTTTAATCTCTTCTTAAGACTAAAATTTCTTGCCCCTTCAATGCAATTTTGCTTTCTTGTACTTAATTTTCAGGTATTTTTCCCCTCTCATCTGCTCTGTGATGAACCATATCAGTATGCTGCTATTTGCTTTCAATTTCTAGCCCATTTGTGATGGAAGATACCAGTCATCTTTGTACAGTTTTCTGTATATTATCTTACAATGGGGAACCCCTGAACAATCGAGAAGAATTCTAAAAATTTGGAAAGGATGATGTGACATCAAGGTAAGAAGTAGAGTGAATCCAGCTGAGAAGAGACTGGCTCCATACTGAAGTTATACCTAGAACCCACAATCATTTGCTTTGTTCTTGTCTCCCTTTCAGTTGAAAGGGCCATTGTTCTAAAAACTGAAACTAACTTACAGTTAGGAATTCTAGCTTAGAGAAGACTTCAAATCTGTGTCCTCAGAGGTCTGGCACATTTAGCTTTTACTGCACCTCAGAAAAAGCATCATAAGCAACACAAAGTACCAGAAAATCTCACAGACATGCAGTTTTCTAGGACTTATTTTCAGTGAAGGGTAAGAAACAAACTGCATAAGTGATACAGTGGCCACTGCGGGGTGGTGGGAAATAACAATTAAAAAAAAAAAAAGTCAAGTAAACAGCAGAAGCAGAAAGATTGTTTTGAAATCTTTAAGAAATAAGTATTGATAGCTAGAAAAAGATAAACACAAGACTTGGAATGGTATAGGGTAAAGTGCATTATACCCTGTTCTTTTGAAAATTATGTCACATCCAATTCAGTAAGAATTCTTTCATGTTCCTGAATAATGAACACAATGTCCCTAAAAAACCAAACCAACAAAACCTTCAAGATCATTAGGTATTCCATTCTTTTGTACACCCAACTTTTCTCTGCCTTTTCAGCTGTTTGTATGTAACTGAAAAACATCATGCAGGAAATGGAGAAAGAGATATTTCACTAACTCCACATTTTTTCAGAAAGTGTCTTCTTAAATTGGTTCCAAGTGTGCTGTTGTATTTACCTGTGATCCTCTTTCTTTCTGTTTAGGTTTTTCCCTCGAGGTCTTTATCTCAATAATATTTTGTACAACTTGTAAAGGAAATCACTTGAGGAGCTAGGGGAAATCTGATTTCCTTATCTCCATTCAATTTACTTACCACCAAATCTTTTTTTGTTCCAACTAGAAAGATGAAGCTGGAATCTGGCTCATTCTCTCTCAATGCATCTTCTAGCCACTGTCTGAAATGCAGAAGAGAAATAAGAGAATCAGTCAGAAGGACTGAGGAATATAGGAGAAAGTGACAGATAATAGTGTCACAAGAAAAGCGAGAAGATGAACTTATGTGAGAGCCTCAAAAGCCTTTTCTTTTTTCTAGATAGAAAGTGGCCAGGAGCTAGTCCAACTCCTTTGAATACATGCCTTCCACTAATGGAAAGTTCAAACATGCCCACTGTAGAGTGCAAATTCAACAATAACTTTAGCACCCAGAGAGAGTATTTATCAGTATAAGGGACGGGGGCAAAGTTTTGATTGAGATAAGGAATACGAAAACAAGAAGCAGAGGAAAAAATATGAACAACATAGCAGATTAGATACAAACTGGACTAAAGAAGAGTGACATAATCTGTTCAGCATTCTAAAACAGCTCCCTATGAAGGCTGCATGATTCTTGTCTCATAAGCTTTTATATTTTTGTTACTTTGGCAGTCAAGTTCCTCTTGAGTCACCCAACATAAATCAAGGAGGGAAGGCAGTGTGTGCATGTGTGGGAAATCAGGTTCACAGGCTTCAATTATTTTCAGCCAGAGACACTAATATATATATATTATTTTGCAAAATCCTATGTAAATGAACTAAGTGGCACAGCAGTAGCCTAAGAAAATAGTCTAATACACATTCAAATAAGACAGAGTACAGATTGTAAAGAAACATGTACCTGCATTACAGTCACAACACTATGTTAGAAATATATATGCTCTGAACTGCAGGCAACAATGTGGATCACAGATCTATGTAGGGTTTTGCAGTCAGCACTAAAAGCAGAACAAGTTTACTCACAACAATTAGCATGCTGTTGTAACCAAATCGTTACAACTATCTCAACCAGTAAGTTTAGCTATATCTACATATGCTTAGAGTCTTTAATTTTCTCTCCTCTTTTTGACAGCCTGTCTTCCAACAGAATCACTACAGAAACTAGAGGCAGAAAATCATTTCAGGCTATTAGTGCACCTAGAAAATGAGAGGCTCTTCAGACATTATGCATGAGATGTATCTCATCAATTTCACCATTTACATCAGATACCAGCCTGTTATTCTGTTTATAGCAAATAGAGGAAAAAAAGGATGCTTTTGGGCTGCACTTCATCTCTTCCTGGATGTCTAGTTTTGGAAGGATCAAGCTCTTTCTGAAGTGCCTTTTTCTCTCCACTGACTATAAAGGAAGTCAAGGGCAAGTAGTTCAAAATTATGCTCTGTCTTTTCTTCAGAAAAATCTCACCCTATGTAATTCAAACAAGTGACTGTCAATTCTTCATTTCTTAGCTCAATAGAAAATACACTCACAATCCAGCAAGTTCTCAGCAACTACAGGCTATCCAAGGCAATCAAACCTGCTGTAAAAGCTTCAAGGGCTAAGCCAAAATACAGAAACTTACTTGGTGTGATCCAAAGTCTGGATATCAGCCAGATCAAACACTGTTATTATAACTGAAATAAAAGAAAAAACCAGAAAAAAGTAGTTAAGTTAGAAAGTGTAACAGAATTCTCTCAATTTTCTCATTCTTCTTCTCTAGCACCCAGTAAGACCAAAGTCCTCAGTCTTCAATCTTATTTAGTCTTTATCTGTAGTCTGCAGTCTATCACACTGTTACTCCTTTTACTTTGGGATCACTAATTCTTGCAGAAATTGTATTTTACAAAAAGGAATGCCAGAAGTATCCACTTCTAACTTCAACGATAATCTTACCCAAACCCAAATTCTCTTCCCCCTAGACACACGTGCCAATTTTTATCACTTCATCATCAGAGCATTCAGAGCTTGCAGGTGTGACTTGTCAATTCATGAGCTTTGTAGTCCCTTCTTCTCTCCAATAACAGACAATCCATTCCACCACACTGTGTCTACAGGTACTTTTCCAAGAGGCACATATGCATATGTTTCCATATAAAGTACAACTTCCCATCACAGCAAGGACCAAATTAATATTGTTCTCACCCTCTGCTCCTCTGTAGTAAGCAGATGCAATGCACTTGAACTTTTCCTGACCTGCTGTGTCCCATCTGTGCAATGGGGAGAAAAAAAAGGAAATTTCAGGTTAATGAAAACCAGTGTAACCTGAGTAAACATGCTAATGAAGCAGCAGACTGGTACAAGTTGGAGAAGAATGTGATACCAGAGATGTGTTACCATCTGGAACACGTTATTCATTAACTACTGACAGAAATACAGTAAAGATCTATTATTTAATGAAGACATTTGAACTCTGTTGTTTTGGTTTTCTTTTGTTTAATACTGGTCATTTTGCAGACACAATTCAAATATTTGTATTCTGCAGGGGAATACCCTTTTCTTAAAACATTTTTTCCTCATCTATGTAATTGGCATGCATTTCTAGGGCAATCTAATTTTGAAAATTTTCTGTGTTAATACTAGCTAAATCATATATTAGCCCATATTAGAATCTTGCAACGGCTAGATATGGTATCTGTCCATACACAACAAATTAGAGACCTACAGCTCAGTCTACCAGGTACTAATGACACCATTAAAGAAAATCAAGAAATTGCTTCTTATTAATTAGCATGATATGCAGTCCTTTCAGTTACTACCAGCACTGCAGACGTTTGGGTTTCTGTTATAGCCTAGTACTGCCAGTCGCGGATACTTACTTGCAAGTTTATCTTGTATGGAAATCTCCCAGCAAGAGGGGGCACTAGTGCTTATCATATGGAAATCTATCCAGCCACTGAAGATTCTGCAGATAATGCAACCTGACCTTTAGCAGCTCATGAACCTTATTGCTTCATCTGGCAAAGTACTGATGCATCAGCCTAAATTTCTAGAGGGACTCAAGTTCCAAAAGGATAGTGCCTGGCAAGATTTTGAAAAACAATGGCATTGAAATCAATGGAATATGGATTCTAAGTCTTTTTCAATAAATCACACCAGTCATCTATTTACATCAGTGATATCTCATAACAAATGTGTTCCTAAGTGAAAAGGTTTAAGATTCATGCACTAGAATACTTCATGCAAAAGCATCTTATTTCTGCTCTAAGTCACACTACAGCATAGATGATTCCATAATGCCCCCTACAGAACAATATTACTAGCCACTGGAAATACTAAAGGGCATCCTTTTGCAGAACCAAAGCAAGTGAGAGAAGGCCAGGATTCCCATTAGTCTGACAAACAAAGATGAAAATCAAAGGTTTTAGGTTCACATTCTAATAAAAATACTCCAGTCTTGCTATGATTTGGGGAAAATTAATTAGTCCCTAATTAAGAGCTGCTGAAATCACTGGACACCTTACCATTAATTTCAATGGTTGCAGGAACAAAACTCCCAGTAAAGCCAAGTTCATTGTTCATTGTGCCTACTAAACTAAAATTGCAATGGTGTAACAGTAGAACTGGACAAAGTCTGTGGCAAAAGCTTCCACTTCTCTTTCAAGAAACTTGAGTTAAAAAAGGCAAAACTTCACTGAAAGGGCACAAATCATCCAAGATGATTTTTCATTGACAAACCAGTAACATTTTTTAGGGATGAGAAATCCAAGAGAATAAAATTTTTACTAAAACTGAAAGTTCAGGTACAGAACCTGTTTTTCAGATCACATTATTCTTTGTGCAATCTTATTATTTTTAAAAAAATCTTTATTCCACTAGAGCCTGCAGTAGTTCAAACTGTTGAGATCATACTCTATGCAATGTTTAGCCATGCCATTTCAACTTACATCTGGAGATTATATGGTATTCCACTTATTTCAAAGCGTTCAATTTCAAAATCTACTCCAATTGTCGCCTTGTAGTCTCGGTCAAAATTATCTTTACAAAATCTGCAATTAAAAAAAAAATTAGTAACTAGTAACACCCAGCTACAAACAACTGCAAAACTAAAACTATATAGGGTAAATTATGAAGAAATGAATTAACTAACTCTGAAGTGGCTATATATTGCAGAAGCGTATGTAAAAACACCAAGAAATTAATTTTAAAAAAGAGATACTGGATAACAAGCTAGAAAGCGTATACATCTAGTAAGTTCTCAGGGTGAGATGAAATCAGAATAAAATATCTTTGGACTGTCAAGGAAGATGATACAGTATCTTATAGCTTTAGTTACAAGGGAATATATTTTCAGTCACAAATAATGATCCAAATGATTAATCAATGAGATTAAAAATTTGCCGTATCTACTTAAGAACGTGAAATAAATAATAAAACACAAACATAGACAGAAATTTGTCACAGTGATCATAAACTACAGAAATTAAGTGATCTGGCTTAGATAAAAAACAGATATGTAAAAAACCAAACAAAAAAAACCCCATAAAAAACGTGCCAGAGCATGACCTTCTGTGTTGGTCTGTCGAGCCTGTCTTACACTGTATGCTTTGTTTTATCTTTTATTTAATAACAAAACCATGGTTCAACACAGAACCATGAACTACTACCCTGAATGCACAGGAATGGAAACAATGTAACATTTATTTGAGAAATAGCAGAACTATCTGCTGAGATATACTGTACCTGTTGATAAGGCTGGTTTTCCCAACATGCAGGTCTCCTACAACAACCACTTTGGATATTTTCAGCCTGTTATAAATAGTTGAAAACATTACATGTTTTTAGTAGAAATTTCAACATTCTCTGGAAAAATTCTGATTTAGATCTTTAAACTGCAAGTGATAAGCACATGTAGCTGTGACTCCAGTTTACCTAAATGCCACTCTGCTGCAGGATCAGAGTCTTAAATTGTAAAAAAGAAAAAGAATGTCACCCAAAAAACCCAAATGTCTCCAGAGTAGAAATACTCCATTTCTTTCTCTGCACATTTTTTTCTTAAATATAATTAAGTGGGACATAAATTCTATTAAAATTACTTTGACTACAATTGTATACATTTGGCAGTTTGCACATAAGACCACAGAGTATATGCATCCTTTTCATTAAAATTAATCACAAGTTTCTCATTGACTTTAATAGTACTAAATGCAGAAATAAGAAATTGCTGATAATAAAATAATCCACTGAAGAATATGTCTCTGGAAAAAAAAAAACAAACCAAAAAACAAACAAACACCGGGTTAGCGCCCAAACATCTTCTGACTATCTGGAATAATATTAATCTGAAGCTGGCTTCATGCAAATAATCCTCTTTGCTCTGGGTCCTCCTACAGAATACAGCAGATGGGCTTTAGGTGACTCAGCCTGCATTCTTAAAATTAAAATATACTGTATCTTTTAGGAGATACAGGTGGATAAGAGAACATAAGTGTATTTGTGAACTTAAACTTGGATTGACATCTCCCATGCACATGCTAAAAAAATGGCTTAACAGGTTTAATGTTCTTTTGTATCAAGGAATGGCTTTTTAAACAAAGGAATTAATCTTCTTTTGAATACTATTTCTGGTTATATCAGGCTTCCATGTGATGCTGATTCCAAGTCATCTATCTTGTCCAAATCTTGAGTGGTAAGCTTCATGACTAATATTTCTGAAAAAAGAAGGCATTTTGTATGCCAGTCAACACTAACTGGGTGGCCACGGGCCCCTAAGATCCTAATATGTCTCTGCCCAATTAATTGTTACTGATAAAATACTGAATAAAATCAACAATCTTAAGGGAAAAAACAAAGAAGTGAGTGATGGTTTAGAGGTGCGTGTTCCATTAATTCATACTGGAGGAAAAACACTCCCTAGATTAGACTATTTAACACATTGATGGATTATCAAGAGAGTCTTAAATACTGCTATTAGCTACTGAATTTCTTAGACTACCTTTCCAAATGACAAAGAAATATTCCATTACTTGGGATAATGGAAAAGGAAGATAATGGTTATTCCTGTCAAGCTTTACAATTACTGTACAAAACACTCAGTTGTCTGTTCCTCCTACACCCACCCCACCAAAAACTGACCTAATAATGATCATATCAAGAGAGCTGTGACAGGAAAGTGGTGTAATTTTATTCAATAAGGCAAAATGTAAAGCTTTTTAGCTATACTCTGTTATCCGAATAAATGACCTGGACAGTTGATTTCTTCTGGAAATAAAAAAAAAAACAAACAAACAAACAACAAAAAAAACAAACAAACAAAAAAAAAAATAGATCTTGGTTATGGAGGGTGAAAAAAAATGCATCAATTCACTAATGGACGTCTTGCTAGCAAAATTGTCTGGACACTTGTAACAAATTTACATGAAACTAAGACAGTGACTATGCTTCTAAAAAGCAATAAACTCACTGTTGTCTCTCAGGGAGACATATTTCAGCTTCAATTTGTTTAGCAAGACTCCCTAGTGAAATGAATAAAAAGTTGTGTTTGAAGATGGATATCATGACAAGTCTCATGGTAATCAACAACTCTAGATTTGAAAGAATAGTGATCTAATTGTCAGTATTCATAGAAGCTCCACTTTATGAAAGACCCTTCACACTGGAACACAGAAGAATTTATCACTAAAACATACAGCTATTTATTTTAACTGAATAGTGATGATTTCTAACACAGTTTAGCTTTCTTGCCTTGCTTCAGGAATTAAATCAGTACTAGTAACAGTTCTGGGAGACAGATGATCTGGAAAAAAAAAAACAACTTAAACATTATTACTGGGGCATAAAACAATTTATTTGCATTTTTCAATGCTATATATTTACCAGAATTTCACTCCAGTTTTAAGGAAACATTTAAGAGAACTTTTCAGCATGTATACTTCTAAAAGACTAAAGCTAGATTCTTATGTGTTTCAAGCAACTTAGAACTGCTGTATGTTTATATCCCCCCAAAAGCCTTTATTAACTGCTCATTTGGAACCCCAACTGAGAATACAGAAAGGCTAGATCTGCCCTGTTCCTTATAACTGCTCTAGAATTTGGTTGTCATACTGACTTGCATGTGTAAAACTCAATGCTCATTTTAAACAGCCAATTAATCTTTTAAAGAGTTCAGTTCAAAGTTGCTAAACAACTCCACTGTTTTTTTTTTCAACGCTACTTATGCCAGCAGAAAAAGTATCTTTGACACTCATGGGAAGAAGAGGCACTTGATTCATTTTCTGTCAAATAGGTCAGAGAACTGCCACATGCATGAGCTTAGCTGCCTTGAAACACACAGGAGCAGGGGGAGAGGGGAGGGAATGAGGGAAGAAAAAATGGGGAATGAGGGAAGAAAAGCCTACGAAGGAAGCAGGCTATAAAGACCTTAAAATACTTTTGTTATTGCATACATGGTTTATTACAAACTTACCCAACTGTTCCAGTGCTCTGCCGGCAAGCAGTCCTGACCTGTGCATGGAAGTGCTCTTTGAACTGCAGACAGGCCTCAGGTGTGTACCACTGAAAACAGGAGAGAACAGCTACTGGGATGTACTGTGTAATGTCTACTTTGCAAGAAGTCAAAACAGCAAGGAGAAAATAGATAAGAAGATTAACTCAACAAGTTTGTCAAGCACAGGGACAGCCTGGCATAAGAAAAGAGATAGTTTGGGTTAGAAGGCAGAAAGATTTCCCCATAGCTATGTTTGTAAAAACTCCTTTGGAAAGCACCATCATTTGACAACCTGAGCTTCAGCCTCCAAGCATTAGCTAAGCTTCCACAGTCATTCTGTACAATCATAAGTACCTTAAATTATCCCAGTAATCTAAGACACAAGGCAAACACAGATGGGAGCATACCACCAGCAAGTCATTATTACTATGAAGTTTTTTAGATCTCTTGAATGCACGAAGCACTGTTTATATTACTAGTTTTTAATTAGGCAGTAGTTACAAATAAGGAAAACGTATTTTACCTTATATTTGCTTAAGATAACTGGTAGTTTTCATAAAATTGAAAGCAAAATATGTGGCTGAAATCAAGCATGGAAAAAAAATGCTGACTCCCTTAAAAGGATCTTTAGAACAACTGAAAAAACAGACTGGTAATTCCTTATCCTTCCCTGTCTTTAACTCTTCTATTATACTTCAAGTGCAAAACTCTTTGGGGACATCAATCTCTTCTGCCTGTGTTTCTACAGTGCCTACTACATTCGATCTACTGTATGACTGAGGTTCCTATAGGCACAGAAAATTAAAATTGCCTCAAATTCTTCAACAAAAACCTCTGTATAGATCTAATCATGCTTTTTGCATATTTAATATCAGCTATGGTTCTTATTTCCCTTCGGTGTAGGAACTCTTTAAGCATGTAATTATTAATGGTTGGCTGACATTACAAGATAGATATTATAAGATAACACTTTGTGGCAAGAGTCACTTTCTGTAAAGGTTAAAAGAAGAAATGAGGATTATTACTAAAGATGTCAGCATTCAATGGGAACATGAGGTCACATATATCTTTGAAAGAATTCCTTAAACAATTTGTAATTTTAGCAGAAGACAACAACTGTAGAGTAAATTAAAATACTATTAGCACCATGGAAAAATAGCTCAATGTGGCAGGTGCTATACACTGTGAGCAGAGGGATGAAGAATGCTTACCTTGGGAAACCGGGAGATTACTCTGTCCCTACTCACTGGGGGAACCAAATGCATTAGATTGGACTTCATCCTCCAATTTCAATTAAATTCTATGAGACAGGAAATATGTAGAGAGACACGTAGTATTCAGGAATTTCCTTGATACAGGGAAAACATGATCTAAAAAAAATTAACAGTTCTTACAGACTCATCATCTTTTTTTTCCTTTCAGTACAGCTAGCAGTTCTTTGACTTTATTTGTGTTAAAGAAAGCATTTTTCTTATGTAAAAGAGACCACTTCAGTACCCATAGCTGTAATAGCATAATGGCTTTACTGAAACTACATGGCACCAACTCTAGTTCCATGGGAGGGCAGAGAATTGTTCACTTAATTCAACATAAGTGCTTGCAGCTTAGCCCTCAAAGGATTTGACAGTGTTTAGTTTAAAAACCTTGCTCATCATTGTTTGAAATGCCTCTGCACTAAGCACATTAATAAATATTAGGGGATACCAGATTTCATTCGATCAGAAGAATAAAGGAGGAAAGATGAAGCTGCCACGTTTCTAGGCACAACATCAAACTTTCATCCAAGATCTGCTCAGAAAGAATGAAATCAGTAGTCTGATTTGGAAAAAGAATAACATTCATATGAAAATCACAAATGTATTTAGATATCCCACTTGAGACATATCAATTTGGTTATGCAATGAAACCTCGTGGATTGTTGGGGGAGGGGACCCTTAATAGGGTAGCGATTCTTATTGTCATTCAAAAGAATGTTTCTAATAAGAACATTCCTCATGTAGCAAAGTGTAAGGAAGGACTCACCGTGCAGCAGCTGATGCAGCAGGATTCCAGCCACACAAACAGCTCAGCCTGCCCCTGCGTGGCCATAGCAACAGGCTTGCAACAGTTCCCTTCCTCCCCTTCTCTAACAGGTTGGGAAGGCGGAGTTAAAGTAATAAACTACACATAGGGCCCTAGTTTTAAAAAAACAAACTGGTTTTAGTGACCATAGAGATTCCTTTGATCAGAAACTGCTCTTTAATAACCTAATGGTCCCCCGATCCCATATAAGAAAATAGTACTGTTTTTCTTCAAAAAGCTAATTGTATATGTGGATATGAAGAGCAGGATTAACCCAGCAGACAAGGAACTAATGGAGTGGGGAATTGTTAGTGCTAGTATTAAGTATAGTAGCAATTATAAAGAAAGTCCTGAGGGATTTTTTCAGAATTCAACTTGATATTATCTCTAAAGCTTTAGAGTCAGGAAGTGCATGCCATTAATGAGACATTCTGAATTATACAAATGTCTTTCTAGTCATTAGTAATCTTGCTTTATAACATAACCAACACTAAAGAAAATGAGTAAGAAATCACACAGTACTTTTGTATTGCCTAAGGATTGATAATCAGCTTATTAGTTTTGATATCATTTAGTATGCTAGACTGTAATTTAGGATGCTAAAAGATTTTATTTATTACATTAGGATTTAAGTTTCCAAATTTCAGGACAAAAGAAAGCTCTCACATTCTAATAGTCATATTTTGATAATGCTTAAACAGGCTTGAACCTCGTAACCTCCAGGAGACAAGTCTCTCCCATTCCTGCAGCAGACTAAAAATGTTAAAGGGCAAATCAATGTGGACAAGTAATTTTAAACACTGAGTAAGTATGTAGCAAAAAACCTACAGTTGTGCTTTACAACCCCACACCAAAAATAACGCTCAACAAAATTGCTAGTCCACTACTTAGAATTAATCTAATTCTCTTTTGTGAGGAATTGCTTTTAAATTATTTCAGGCACCAATATGATCTCAACCATACTCAAACACCCAGTTCCCTCCAAATAATTCAGATTTGTAGGTGATGTATTCACCAAAGAAGGTGATATTACAGTATTTATCTATTACCGTATGCATAGTTCTATTTATCATGCGCTTATGACTGTAAAAAACTAGAGAGATCTAGACCCTTTTTATAGTTTGCTCCTGCCCTTTTGGCAAGTTTGAATGATTTTATGGCAACGTTAATGTCTTAAAATAATAGTTCTGAAAACAGAAAGAAAACCCCTGCCAGCTGGTAAGAGTTTCAAATACTAATTTGTTTTCTGCATATTTTCCTAGTTCGAGTTCAACACATACTAAGCAAGTAAATATCTGTCGTGTACACAGGATGACTCACTGTCTCATAGAGCTCCTTCACAAACTAAGCTACTAGAAAAATCAATTCAACTATCTCAGTGAATCCAAAGTACAGGAGGGACCAAGGCAACCATACAGAAACATTTTTAAATTGAGAAGCCATCTTCACTTACGTTTAGTGTATTTAATCTAAATCTCACACACACATGAACATATCCCAATTTGACAAATCAACAAATTAGCCACACCCTTGGTGGAAAAAGATCAATTATTTAAGAAATATAAAGTTGCTAAAAATATTGAGAATGATTGGTACCCAGATCCAAATTTTCTCTTCTTACAGAGCTGAAGGGGATTAGGTCATCAGGGAGGACTGGGAATATAGTGTGGCATCACCACATCCATCCTCACATCAGTGTTGCAGGAACAGTATCACCAGCAGATTCTGTGGATAGACAGAGGATTTGAGGAGGGTATTCAGAAGCTAGACATAAAATAAGTTAACATCATGACCACTAAACAAAATCAGTATTCCAAGCTACGTTGAAGGACAACACAGAACAACTCACACCAAAAGGATGAGAGCAGAGCTAATGCTAAAGGACAAGAGAAGCCTCTGATACCCTCTTGCCCCTTCTACACTGAAAAAAGTTCATGTTCTTCCTACTGAAATAGGGTGAAACTTTACGGTTAGTGGAAGTGTAATCTAATTCAGGAAAATAACCTCTACTTTAAATAATCTGCTCTAAAATGTTGCAGAAAAATTAATCCTTTCCAGAAAATACTTTTTAAAGTAGTAATTTTTCTTTTATGGATTTTGATGATCAACAAACCAGAATCTATTCCTGTGTTATATTTTAATCTAGCTGATCTGAATGACTTTGGTTTTGTAAAATCCAGTTTAAGAACTTTGATTATTACAATTGTTACTCAGACATAATGAAAAACATGTCAATGACTTCTCTATTTGTACTTTTTTATAGCTCAAGCTGTTCAGGGCTTTTTCCTGATGCCAAATCACATCTGACAATCCACAGAACCCTTAAATTGTGCTAGCAACCTTGAGATGATACATTCTCCCCATGTACCATCCTCTGAAAAACGCTATACTTCTTAGCGGAATCATACTGAAAAGATGGTGAAGTCTTCAATATAGTTACGTGGAACTAGGTAATGGAAACCACTACTACACATTCCAGCTGTTTATAGTGACATTCGGGAGAAGACTAGGAGAGAAAACCTAACTCAAAGCTACTGAGTTCCCTTTAGCTCTATCTTTACCATTGACTCGACCACTACTTTATTCAATCTGATTTTTTTTCAAATTTTGTTCAACTGAAATTACTTTAAAAACAGGGGGTGAGAACTGAGCCTCCCTCCATGCTTTAGCAGAGCAGCGAGGTAAAACTGCCTCACTCCGCAACCCCACGGCGACATTTCCCCGCTTTCCTCATACGCTACCCGCCCTGAGGGGCCGCGCCTCAGCTCAACCGCCCCCGGCGCTCCGCCGCAGCTCTCCGACTCCCGCGCTAGCAGCGGCCCCGACTTCCAATTCGCCAACTACGCCGTTGACGCTACTCTCTCACTGCAGCTACCGTCAAATGCGGTACTTACGCTCTTGACGCAGGACCAGACTCCGTATGCTTGGCTGCGGAGCTTTTATTCACGGAGCGGGGCGTACGCAAAGAACTAGTTGCTGTGGCAACTAGCGCACGCGGGCGGGAAAAGAGGTGGCGGAGCTGACAGGAGCTGAGGAGCGGGAGCCGGGGACGGGCTGAGGCGGTGACATATTGGTGGGACAGCACCCCTTTGGTTATTTAGTCTGTTTCTTTTGTTCTGAAGAGAGAATTGCAGTTGTTCAGCAGTTTTAACTTTGCAGGTGTTGGGTTTTTTTTTTTGTTTTTGAGCAGTTGAGCAGCCATCACAGTTCTTTAAAACGTTAACTAATTCTGAGGGTGGGTTTAAACTAGACCCCTTTTAAAAGAACGCTTTTTTGAAAAAATTGTTTTGATTGATTTTTCTTTAACATTATTTTGAGCCCTTTATCTGTTTCTGGACATTGGACTACTTCTCGTTAACCCTTTGAAAAGCGTTCCCTGTCTCACCTTGCAAGTTTAAGCTTTCTCTCTCTCTCTTTTTTTTTTTTTTTTTTTTTAAAGTATTCAGTAGAGAATTAAACCAGATAAGACAATACAGCAGTTGACCATGAACCATTCTAGCCTCCTCTTTCATACCTTCCTAACAATGAATGTGTGATTACTGTTTAAAGTCAGTAGTTGTATTTTTGATACATTATCTGTCCAGTCACCAGTTACAGTCATTTTGGCATACAGTTAGGCATAGGGAGAATCCTTCCCAGGAAAATTTGGGATGGCTCATGCTCGCATCTCAGCCAACCTTCCCCCTGATATAGATCCCACAAAAGCTCCTATTGCATTTGGAAGGAGGGCCCTTCCTAAACTGCAGGAGGAGTTACATTCTCCTGAGCTGCTGACTCAGCAGCGGGCATTGATGGCGCTCTCTGATCTGGTCCATGACCCAGAAAATGTCTACCAGGCAATAGAAATAGGTAAGTGGTCTGTTGTCATAAACTTTGACACAGTGGGGATAAAAAAAAAAAAAACAAACACTTCATTTTTGTGTGCAACTTTTTTCCTTGCAATATCTTTGAAGACAGAAAATGGCCATGAAATTTTTTTATTTTAATCTCTACTTGTTTTATCTTAAAAAGGTAAACAATATCATAATGCCATATACTTGACAGTTATTTTAAGAGTATCCTTGCTTTAGGATTTATCATTGTCTCACTATAGTTTTTATCAACCCCTAAATACAAAAGTAGCGCAGAATCTTTTTTTCTTTTGATTATTCTGAATTTTAGCTAATTCTTAACATAGGTTAATTGAAAAAAACCCCAAACACTTAATTAGTCCGAAGTCAGAAACACACCCTCCACCACCCTCTTGCCACTTAGTTATATTTAATTTGTCTGGAATCTTTTCTAATCCTGTTATCCATGAACATTTCAGAAGAAAGCAAATCAGTGAATTTATGAATTTCTAATATAATAAAACTACTAGATTTATTTAGTGAGGGGAAAAAAAAAAGCTTTTAGTTATCCTAGAGCAGGAAAAAAGGCTTTTTTTTTTTTTTTTACGTCATTAGACATTTTCTACCACATAGGACAGTGGTAACTTCCTGGGTTTTTCATGCTTCAGGTCCTCAAAGTGCTCATATCTCTGATGCCACAATAACAAAAGGCAAAAAACTCAGATGAACCCTTTAATAATTATTAAAATAATACTTAACTAAGGTTCACAAATTCAGTTGCAAAATCCTCAAAGTCATCTTTCACCATTCATTCCTTTGGCAGTGGATAGCATGGCACATCCAGATGTAACTTTACCAGAGAGACAAAACATCAGGGCTTTTTATGCAAAAAGCCTTCTCAGAAGTATCCTAGTGATTGTAGAATGAGTCTATAACAAAAAAAAAACAACAACCTGGGACTTAATGAGAAATTAAGATACAAGATAATATAACCAAATTTATCATATTTTTCATGATTATATTTTTCCACCACCATTTTCAAAAGCTTTTATCCCACTAGTTGGAAGAATCCTAAGTTTGGATTTTGGAAAAAAACCCCATGCATGGTTATCTACACAATTTTTAGCAGTCTTTTGTGTATCTACAAAGCTCATTATGTAACACTGAAGAAGTCCTCCAGTTTGACACTGCTTTTTTTTCTCCATTTACATCATTCATATTTTTTTCCTCATAAAAGATACAAATAATCATGTTCAAAAAGTTATTGTTTGATTATCAGCAACTGCTGAAGCACTGTGAGATTGTTGCTTGTTTGGGTTTTTTTGGGGCTGATGTTATGTGTGTATACATGTAATCACTAATGGTTCACCAAGTTTATTTCTACATGTGAAAAGCAATGCTGTGTGTTTTTATATATCTGATGCTACACATAAAGTTAAAAAAAAATTAGGAGTCAATCCTGCAAACACATGCTTTTCAAAAAACATCAATAGCTCCACTAACTTGAGTTATTTTTAAAGTTATGTCACTTCACAAATATTTGCAAGATTAGGATTTAACCTGATACAGAAGTCATCAGCTTCTTTGTAGCACAGCATTTTTGGCAGTAGGCCTTGAAACTTGAAAGTTTCTTCCCTACCTGAGATATGACAGAGTTTCACAGACAGGACAAGATGAAAATTGTGATTGTTTGCACTCAAATTATGAGATAAAAATGAATATCACTATTTGGAATTAATGCTGAAGGTTAGAAATGTAAAATGAACTATTGTGTCTCATAGGATTCTTGGGTAACCTGAAGTCTTTGCTCCCTCATCATGACAGTACTGTCCGACAAAAAACAACCCAGATCCTCCATATAATGGCTATGCATAATGTTGGCAGGTAGGTGTAATTCTAGAGTTTTCCAAATTGAATGGGAAGTGATAAAGATGTTTCACTGAGAAATAAGAACAGAATTTCTAAGTTTTGGCAAGATCGGTGCAGTGTAAATAAGAGGATTTAGTTAAGATTAAGCATCTTGCAAATATATATGAGTTTTTCTATGCTTAGTTAAATCTATCCTCCAATGTTGTTTGTAGGCAAGGGTTGATACAAAATGGAGTGATTTCTGCCCTCACTGAGCTCTTGGATGATCCAGTAGAAATCTGTCGGAAGAACACACATCAGATTTTTGAAATGATGGCAAAATTACGTGAAGGTAGGGATTTTTTCAGTAGTTAAGTATTCTAATAGGCAAAGCAGATAGGTAAATTTACCTGATTCTCTGTGTAATAGCTTCCAGATTTATTTTTTTCCATTTTCCTTGAAAATAATATTTAAAACCAGTATCTTTTCTATTTTTGCTCATATTAATTTTCTTGAGTTATTTTTCCTATAAGAATTTATTCTTTGGGTTCTATCAGGGAACTTTAAAAGGTATGACTGTCATCTTTTTTGTTGGTAGAGAGAACTATGTTTTCTAGAGCTGTTTTTGCACGTCTAAAATTTTTCAAATTGTGTAATAATAGTGAGAATACTTAGCCAAAATATAAAAAATGCTTTACATAGATAACAAGTGAAATGCCTTGTGTTAACATAATACATCTGTGAATAGTCCTGTGTCTGTACTGGGGGGACTGATTCTGCTAGATCTGCTAATTTTCTTCAATCTTATGCAAGTTAAGGCTACCTGCTCAAGATACAGGTTGTGTGGACTGCATACTTGAATTTGAATTTCAGGACCCTGCATCGAAAATTCACTTTGTCCTGTTCTGTTCAAAATGGTGATCATTTCATTGATTTCACAGCACACAGGGTTTGTAGAAAGTTTTTCTGGTGTTAGGAGGTACACATGTGAAATTTGTTTTATGCTTTCCCTGCTCCCTGAAAGCAGTGGTGTAGGAGGAAACAAATGAGCAAGTAAGGGCACCATCCATTGATTGCACTGTGTATTCCACAGATCACTGTTTCTTAAACATACGCGTTGACATTGCTTTCAGGCGGTGAAGTTTAAAAAACCCACAAACCTGGGGGTGGTGCAAAGAACAATGAAGTTTGCTTTTTCTGATATTTTATTCAAATATTGTTTTCCCTTAGGTAACATTGTTAAATGGACTTGGTAAGTTAAGTTTAAAATGTGATAAACTACATTTAACTTTGGATGTCAAAATTGAACTAATCATCCTACACTCCCTGTATAGCAGGATAAACATCAGTATCTAATAGGGCAAAAGGTCTAGCAATATCATAGGTGCTTAGTTTAGGATGAGATGAGTTCCGCTCTGGTAATGTCCATTTATGTCCAGTGAGATAAACAGAAGCTGGGTTGATTACATCAGTCAGGCATCTAGCTTTTAAGTACTTCAGTCTAAACAGAGTAATCCAAGCTGAGAATTTATCTTTGACGTGCCAAAAGACTAGGATGTTGTATATTTTACATGCTATCTTTATTACATATATTTATAGTTTTCTAAATCTTTTATACACTAAGGGAATTTATGCTGATTTATTACTTTTATTTCCAGATTCTGTGATTATAATTTCAGTAGTTTTCTAATCTGAACATTAGTCTTAAACTTTCCTACCTAATGAAAATTATAATGTTAAAATTAAAATTTCAGTAGATAGAAATTAACAGTTAAAAAGCCATACTACTTAAATTCAAGAAAGTATCTTGTCTGAGGAATTCTGTTACATTACTGGTGCTTAAAAAATAATTGAATGAATGCTTAAAGCCTTGCTGAGTGAGTATACATGAATTCTAAAAATATAAAGATCTATTTAGATGCATGCAAACCTTTGTGAAGTCCTAAATAATTAAATCCATATGAAGGATGTTAATATGGTGGGCTAAACAACTTTGCAAACATCACTACAGGAAAACAGATTTTCTGTTAATTTAATTTCCATAGCCATTTTACAGATTTTCAAATCAAATGAGACAGGAACTTGGCTCAAGTATATTTTGACCTGTCTGACTGCCTTCAAAGAATTCAGTCTCTTACCTGTGTAGACAGATACATACCATCATCTGAATATGTGAGTTGTAATGAAATTTATGAGAGTAGAAAACTTAAGCAAATAAATGTTGCCAAGTTTTTGCAGATCACTATTAATCATTACCCATTCATCTGTACCAGGTAAGGCCTTCTTCTTAGCCCTTTTGGAACTGTATAATTCAGTAGCAAGCCTTGCTGTTCAGTCCCTGCTGTACTGAACTTTATTATTAACTCCAGCCTTCAGATGTGGCTAGATCTCTAGTGGGCTGATGCAGGAATTTACCACTTCTCTTCTTTTGATGGAGTTTTCAGATGTGTGCATGATGCACAACTTATGATGTCTGGAAAGGTTTCAGCTTAAACAGGGAAAATGCCTTAGGGTTTGGTGGCTGCTGTACATACCATTTTAGATATGAATTTGAGACTTACAGATGTAAACTACAACTCATGTTAGATGTAAACACCTGCCTGCTTTTCAGTTCTATCTCACAAAACTTAGAGCATTTGCTAAGTAGATTGGAAGTTCAGCTACATAACCAGGAAACATTCACTGGAGGATAAATAAAAGTTCTAGAGGGAAAAAGGTAATTAAAAAAAAAAAAAAAAGCTAACCATATGGCCCAGAGAGGAAGCGAGGGCTTTTTTTTTTTTTTTCAGTGTTTGGAGTTAGGCACTTTGTAAAAAGCATGTACTAAAACCAAGGGTTATATAGAAGGCATTTTGTTAGAAGCATAATTTCTATTTAGAGATTTACTGTAGCAGTAAGCAACGCTAGCTCTTGGTGGTGCCAAAACATAAAATGTTGCTTATTAAGAATACCACATAAATCAAAATTCATTGCTTAAACTAGAGGACATGTAATGATACACCATACTGCCAATCAGGTGTACTCCTGTTGTTACATTTTTGTCCCTGCAGGCATCTGAAGATATCATCTTAGGTCAGGAACCACTGAAGGGAACTGTCACAATTGTAAAAGCATTTTGATGATAATCAGGAAATGTGAGATTATACTATACAAGGAGAAATCTAGTTGCCTCCTGGAGCAGAAGGATTATCCAACTGCTGCTGAGCTGAGAATTCAGCAAGAGCTGAGAGCCAGCTGCAGCCATGTCTCTCCTCAAAATCTTGCCTTTGATTGAAGGCAAAGGATTTATGGCAGCTCTGAAGCGAGCAGGAACCTCTACTAGTCAAAGACCAGATTCTAAATCATGTTACAGACCCAACGTAGCAAACATTGCCTATATCTACAAGAAAGGCTACAATTCTCTGAGTAGTAGTTTATTTTCAGGCAGGCTTCTCTTGAGCTAAGATTGATCCTAGTTTCTTCATTTTACCTCTCCCACTTCAAGTAGCAATGGCATCTAAGATTCAGGTTTTCCAAATCAAATTAAGATCAAGACTTTTTTCAGGGAAGGGTTCTGGAGTTTTGTCTCCAAAAAGCAGAAAAGGGTAATTAGTAGTATGAAAAGAGGACATTTAAATAATTGTAGAATTATTTATTTGGTAAATTCTGTGCATCAGTGCCTTCACTGCAATCTTCTTTTAAATGTAAGTAAGGAGAGTTACTTTATTAGAAACCTATGTCTGGTTTTTGGTTTAGAAACATATGCCTGGTTAAATGCCTGGTTTTAATAGTTTTTTTTTTTCCATTCATTAACTCTCAAATTTAGTGTAATCCTAATGTATTTGCAGTAATCAAGATCTGTATGCCTGTAGGCCAGCTTTTTTCCTATTTCCCCCCCCACCCTTTCTATTTATAAGTAATTAAAAATGAATGTAAAGGAACTGTTTACATCTGTGAAGCAAACAGAATTTAATCTTTATCTTCTGATCCTAAATTCAGATCTCTCAGAGAGCATGATGTGCCTGGCAGTCTCTTTATAGCCTGAGTCATACCTTTCTAGGTGAAATTCTCCTCCAACGCTTAATTTCTTCAGCTATGAAATGATGCCAAATTTTGACCATTTCCTCTGTCAGTGTTTGTGCTATTAAAAGCCTCCAAGACTTGTTCAGGATAGAAGTCCTTGACTTGATTAAGTTTGTCTTGCATCGCTTTCTACAGACCAGATTTTCATACAATGTCCTTTGACAGGTGTGTGTATGGGGGGAAATAGATAAAAGCTGCGATCCTCAGCCTGTCAGGTATGTACAGTTTGTAAGATCAGTGGTATACAAGCTGAGCTAGCACGGGGTCTGTGAAAGCATCTCTGAGTAATTACCCATGGATAAAGGTGTTTTTCTGAAGAGTATATCATTTTAATTTAGATAAAAATATAACACAAAAATATACATGCCTGTATTTAAGGGATGGAAGATAAATCCTTGAGCAGAATTGTGTTACTGTAGAATGGACTCTCAGATGGCTATTTACAAGAAGAACAGACAGGTAGTAAAACTGTTTTCTTTGCTATGATACAATTAGGGGAATTATCATAAAGAATGGCAAATATTTTCCAATAGGTAGTAAGAGTCACAAGGCCTGACATAATTCATCTGACATATTACAGATACAGAAATAGTCTCTGCATGGTAATTCAGCCTTCTTCAGCTAGCCAAGAAACTCCCTGTCTTCCTCTCTGCATTTACTTCTACACCTTACATCCAAATAATGAGATAGGATGTACCTTGTATCAGCTGGAGGAAGTCAGCAACTAATATACCATTCCACAGCTAGATTTCTGGTGTTTTCTAGAGCTGAGGTAATTTACAGGGCTAATAAAGCGCTATGTTCCACTTTAGACAAACAGAAACATAAGCTTTACATGCATATGGCATGCAGTGTAGTTTTTGTTAACTGGGAAGTGGTCAGTGACTCCAGTTAGCTCTATGCCAGGTCACCTGGTCTTTCTCCAAACAGAGTAATTTAGGAAAATGTAGTTATTTTAAGCAAACCCACTTGCAGACTATTTTTGATTCCTAAGTTTAAGGATGTATACTAGTATCCTCCAGGAACAGTGGGATCATTAAAAATCAAAAGGTGAGAAAATTCCACAAAGATCAGGAGAACACTGAGGAGTAACATTTCCAGAAGAAACAACAACTTTGTGGCAAGAATTAATGGACAGAAGAGAGGCAAAAAGACATATATATATATATATATTTAATAGAGGATAGAAGAGGGAGAAGAACCATCAGCAGGAGAAAACTAAGAACATTGGAAAAATTAATAGCAAAACTTTCACTCTATGAAAACAATTAGTTGACACACAGTACTTAA